ATGCATAGTCCTAGCTCGGTGTATCTTCAATATTTAATGAAAGAAAATTAAAGATGATTTGTAAACCAATGCAGAAAACTTGAATATAAACAAAGATATGGAAAATATACAAAAAATGCCTTTTGTTGATAAATTTTGTACAAATGTTTGTCCTTGTTGATCATTTAAAATGAAGTAATAAGTGTATTAGTATTTCTTATGACTTCTTTAAATTAGATAAGACAAATGTGAATATTAATCACTGTCTTTTGTATGCATGTATTATTGTCATGAAAGCATTTTGCTCGTCAATGGTTGCCTAAAACTGGGAATTCGGCAGAGAATTTTAAATTAAACTATAGCTGTCACTTTCAACAAATCCATTTGTTCTGGGCTTTTTGTGAGTGCTTAGAGGAATTCAAGATAAAAACAGAAAAAAGAAACAAAAATAAACATTTTATGCCTTGTTGTTAGAAATATCTTTCTCTTTCATGTTTTCGCTGCTGTAGTCTTTGTTGGCTGTTGGAATTTGAGAGTAATGTCACGAATTAATCATCATTTGAACTAGAATAAGGATTCTCTTTCATTTTTTCCCTTCTATTACAAGATATAAAATATATGTAAAGACTTATCTACAAGGATTATTGCTTTGCCGTCTCCTAGACAGCAGTAAATGATGGTTTTGCAGCGCGGAGCAATTGAGATGTTAACATTTAATGTCGGAAGCCATGATTTCGTTGGTACAGATACTCTGCAAATTTCTTACATGTTCAAAGCGTCTGAATCAACAAATAAAATTTAGGTATAAGCAGTGACGGTTATAATTTGGAATCGTCTTACTGGGTTTAGCTGTGGAACATTTAACTTTATCGGAACTCTCGCAGCAGGAAGATCATAATCTATCATTCTGCATTTGCGCATGACACAAAACAGAACTGTTTCCTGTGATGGCGCTGCAGGTAACAGTAATAATAAAATGTGTTCATAAAATTTGGCAGAATTTGCCTTCATTGCATGTGATTTATAGTAGTAAAATGAAAATTTGTCAGTAATTTGGTTGCTGCGTTTGGACAGAATTTATCCCGTCCCACTGCGGTACACCATGGATGGCCCTCTTTGATGTTAGAACTGATAAAAGCCTTCCCTATTCTTATCGACTAGAGGAAATGTATATTAACTTTAATGTTTGATAATGAGTTTTTGACTTCATAAAGAACAGCTTCTGAACTCATTTTAGCTGTCTATATATTAGGGAGAGAAATAACGGGCGCTAGCACAGCTTCGGCTCCATTTAAATCAGTTAAAATAAGAAAACATGTATACGGACTCCACTGCATTCAACCTAAAGAGTCCGCTTTCAGTGTGAGCTATCATTTGGCGATAAAAACATAACAATCAAGTTTCAAATAACACGACCTGGTGTAATTAGCCACAAAATAAAACGTTAAATTTTTACGACAAAATGACAGACTTTTTCCCCAGGTCCATCTGTAATAAACTCCAATTTTAATCATCACCGTCTCACACATAAATTCACAGTAAATTAGAACCTTTTTCAGTCCACCTATCACCTCAAATTTTGGGTCATAAAAATCCAGTAGGCCCTGAAAGGCACAACACCTTTAAACGATATTTTATCATATAATGGCGCTTGGTATTGTAGTTTCTGATTTGAACACTGATCCATTAGTGAGGAAGGTGTTGTTTAAACACCAAACCTTCCACTTCAAAGGAAAATAAATGTCAAAGAATTAATCCGGGGAAGGTTTCAAATCAATTTATGAGTTGGAATTTTAATGTTATCTAGATAGTGAATAAATATATGCTACAAAAGGCTTTCCGAAAGGCCCGGAGCTAAATCTAAAAGCCACTCAGATGCATAATTTGATGTCCGATTTGTATGAATTTTCAATAAGGCTTTTAATCATTTTTTAACATGCAAACTTGGGTGTGCTTGAGTTATTCGATTTTTTCAAACTTAAAAATATTTTTGAAATTTTCTTTTTCCAATTGCTAATGTCTGAGGTCTCAATAAGTAATGTCTCGTAGTAAAATTAGATTATTTCTGCAAAATAGACTAACACAAACGATGATATAACTAAACTTGCATGGTAAGAATTTTTATGTTTTTAATCATTCTTATTTTTAAGTCATTGGGTGCCGTTTTGTATAGTATTTGACGGGGAAGCTGTCCTTTTCCTCAGTTACTCATTTATCCTCTGAACGTGCGCAAACTTAATTAAAAACTGATATCGGCAGTCGTTCAATTAATTGTCGTTTATGTGTTATTCAATTTCTATTGTCACCCTGAACCCCGGACTATGATGGCGGGATCTCTATGCCGTTTATTCATGACTTTCTGCGGTAATTAGACTAACCGGAACTAAGATTGATTTATGACGGCAAATCGTTATCAAATATGTTCTTTTTCCTGGCAATCTGCAAACCAAATAGAATTGTTCCAAAACAAAACGGAACTACTTATTCTTTTATCAAATTGCAAAAAAGTTAATATGTAAACCTTGATTAACTCGACAAGTAGATTTTTCTGACTAAATTCAATAGTACATGCCCAGGGTGCAAAAAAGATTCGATAGTGTTATTAAATGATGTTATCTTTTAACGAGAGAAAACGACACCTCTTGTTCATAAATTACACCATTTGCCGTTGAAAGGGGAAATTAGCCAACGATCATCACACACTTAGTGCGTATTAAGTGAATTTATGATAATTTGATCTTTATTGAAAAAGTTACATATTTTCCCCTACGTTAAACATGAATGGGTTGAAATTGATATTTGTTATATCGAACGCACCCTTTCACATAGAGATTGCGTTTGATGTTCATCTTCTATATTGTGTGCCTACTTTATATTGATACTTTATTTTCTCCCAACGCACTGAGTTGAACATTCTTATTTTAGTGTCGAAAGAAATGGACCTTTGTATAAACTACTTTCAATCAAAAATCATTTTTATTGTAATTATTATTTATTGGCTGTTATTTCTGTTTTGTTTGTGAAAATTCAACTGTTCTGCTAAATATTAATAGTTTATTTCATTCCTAAATTTGTACATGCAGTTGGTTGGATTTGCATTATTTTGGAAGCTTCCTGACAATCTTTGAGAAATATCTGCGGTAGGTCTTGGTATAGGTACTGATATTATATACTTCTCTTATCTAATACCTTCGTTGAGCCCTACATTAGTACGCAGTGGGAAGCTGATCAGCATTTAAATCAGGGTAAACACACTATGTCTAGCAAAAAAACTATTTCTTTCAATTTTTTTTTCAATTATTTCAGCAGTTCCTCCATTTTTTCCATTCTATCTTTTATTTTTAGAAGCCTTTCTTTTATGCACGCGAAATGTTTTCTTAAAAAAAAAATCACGATAAGCTTCTTGAAAAAAAAATAATTATTTTTAGCATCATATTAATTTGACTCCCTTCAAAAGAAAAATTAAGTGGGAATTTGATCATCTTATTGTAATCTTTAGTTTACATTTTATTCTTAAAGAACACTATATATATTGACACAAATGAGTATTTCAAATAGGTTTATACTTTATAGGCTACTGATCATATCATCTATATATATATAATTTTTTTAAAATAAAATCTGAAGTAATTAACTCATTGGTATTACAAATTTTTCTGTAAGAATTTGTTATATTATGTTTAGTTTTTGGAGTATAAAAATAGCCTGAAGACTTAATAAAATGAAAAATCAAAAGTACACATAATTTTTAAGACATTGCAAATACTCCATGTAATAACCAAAGTAATTTTCTTTAATTTCTTCTTTTCAAAAAATCCCAGACCATATTTTCTTTTATATCCATGTATTAAAATTTATTCAAAGTTGGAAGTACACACAAAATTGCGAAAAAATCGTAATTTTTACGAATAAAATTTTTAAAACGAAGCAATGAAATTAATATTTAATTTTCTTCTTTACTTTGAAAAAAAAAACAAATACTAAATTTCTCATTTGCCGATTCATTATCATTTTTGAGATAAGAAAATGAAAGATGGTGGTATCCTTTTCCTACACAACTTTTAAATGTATTTTTAATTTTGCAATTTGACATTAAATGAACGTTTAAGTAAATAAGTCTTTAGTTTCCGACTGTTTCAAGGTTAAATATTTCTTCACTTGAAATCGTATTAATCATATTGCGTATCTCCCTGGCAGAAGGAGCAGATATTCATCGCACAGACAGAAATATAAATTAATAAAATTCTACTTCTTATCATGTTCTCGATTTAGTCATTAGTTTCCTATTAATCTTTCCTAAATATTTATTATTTTTAAGATAAATGTGTCTTGCGTTGGAATGTTTTTTTGACATGAGGAATTGGACCTTGTACATGGTGTATTTTTCTATGTACCTTACCCAGTTTATATTAGGGAGCGTTCTTTATTCAAATTAATTTCATCATTGAGGGTGAATCAAAGCTGTAAAACGATATAAATGATAAACATCTAAAATGACATGGAGATTCTAGTTTATTTATAACTGCTTCTCGCCTTTCAAAAGAAAAATATGATCTTTAATAATTCAAAACTCGACCTTCGGACAAAGAGAACGGCTAGTGATATCAAATATGAATAAGTTTTGGCTGGCTTTTTTTTTTCTTGTGGGTTTAAGCGCTGTGATTATCGATTGAGTGTTATTTTTCTTGGTATCGGATGCGTATGCAAATAATTTTGTTATATTCTTACTCAAGGCGCATTTTTAATTTGATTTTGATTGCGGGTCAGAAGTGAATTAAAAAGCTATACAAGCAAACGTGTAGGAAGCGAACCGTTTTATAGCGGTGTGAAATTCATATGGATACCTCGGGATAAAGGTGCCAAATCTACTCCTGTTTTTAGACCCTTGCTTGCAAGGCCACATTTTAGCATAAGAATGCCAGCTGAACTTAAAACGACTAGCTTCATAGACTTATCAGCTTTTTATCTTCCTAGTGAAAAATATGAATCGGTGATTTATGAATAAAACATAATGACAGTAGTTTTACTAATTCAATTTGGCTTTTAATTTGAAATTCTATAAAATAAAAATTAACATGTTCTTTTAAAAGAACACCCATTGCTCAATCTTACATAATGCCTTACAAAAAAAGGAAGTGTTTTCCTTTTGATCAGTTTGAATATCACCTAATCCGAGGGACTGGTAACAGTTCAGATGGTCGCTACCTTTGAGCACTATAGTTCTGTCTCAGTGGTGTCCCGCTAGGATAAGTCACGTACGCTAGCACTATATCCACTCATATAGCACTTAGTCACAAACACAGAACTATTTCACCTTTGGCACACACTGACGGAGACAATATTGTAAAACGTATTGACCCCTCATTCAAAATGGTCCACACATTTACTCTAAAGTAAAATTTCTCAATGAGGAAATGACATCCCCATGTTGCCCGGGGTCAGTGCATAACTAAATGGGGTGAGGAATGAATGGGCAAAACTCTGGGGTCGGGCATACTGTCCAGCATATAACGCCGCGGCGGCGGGAAATGTCACACCAATGGCTGGCGGAAGCATGGGCTTACTCGCCATTTTTAATTTCTCCAGCTCTGCTTCATGAAGACGCTTGGCTTTGGCTCTCCTGTTTTGGAACCAAATTTTGACTTGAGTCTCTGTGAGATTGAGAGAAGCTGAAAACTCTGCTCTCTCTGCTATTGAGAGATACTGTTTTTGACGAAATTTTCGCTCCAGAGCTAAAAGCTGTGATGTCGTGAATGGTGTTCTTGGTTTTCTGTTTGTTTTGTGTTTTCGTAAGGTGCATTTCTGAGGATTAATTCTTGGGGGGCTTGCTGGATCTGAAACTAAAATTTCAATATTTAAGAAATATGTATATTTCAAAAAATATATCTTGTCTTATTTCAAATTTCTTGCAACTTGCTTTATAATTAAAACTATATTTCCTGGCGAGGGTACGCATTCTATACCTGAAATTCATGTGCTTCTCTTCTTTCAGTTTTATGAGAGGAAACGAGTTACCTGATGAAATTTATAAAACGCTTCCGAATTTAGAATAGTTCTTGTTACTCGGCTTTATAGTTCTTGGATTCAATTAATGGATGTCAAATATAAAAGAGTGATAAGTTAAATTATAAGTGACGTTTTATTGAGAGACAAAGAGATTATGGGGGGATGAATTCGGATGCTGATGGCGCGCATTATGAGCCATGGTCAAGGACCAGACAATTAAATCTAATCTGGCCTTATCAGTACAGATATCGGGTGTTGTACACAGAGCCACGGCCTTATCTCCCCCCTCTCTCAGCTGACGGTCATCTGGACAGCGTTACGTGGCCGGAGGATACGGATTCCCTGTCTAAAGCCTCTGACACTAACAGCCTCTTATTAGACTGACCATATCGCTCCATTTAGTCAAAATGTTTCAATAATTTTATTGAAATTAATTACCCAAACACTTAATTAGAAATCGTAGTTGAAAGGCGTCAGCGATAAGCGTCAATTACGAATGATTCGCGCCACTGAGTGCGATAGAGATGTGGTTTACTGGCTGTACTTTAAGGCGGGCTGCTGGGGCGATGTATGGCGCTCAAAATGAAATCGACATTTTTTGTCCAGCCAAAACTTTTATCGACAAACGTTTATCTTAGTTGCCGAACGTCCGCATAGAAAACGTGATGGAGTTCGAACGTCTCCCGAATTATCTCTAGTTACGCCAAATTAACCCCGTTTGCTCTTTTCTTTATTTAGCTTCTTCAGTTTCAATTATGCACAAAAGAGTTCTCGATAGTATTAGCAATATTGACTTGTGTCATCCCAAAGCTTAGCTGTTGTTCATCTAATGGGCTTTGTTAAACTGTGACATTTTTTTCGTGCTGATTTACATGTTTAATTTCCTATTTATGTCAAGATTAAATCGTTTGAATTAATAAGATCAGATAATTATTTTTTAAGGAGAATCAAGTAACCAAATAATATTATAGTTTTACTATAATTTCACTTTTTCTGATGTGATTAAGGAAATGACTCTGATTTTGTTTCTAATCAATAATTTTAAAATACAAGTTAATAACAGTAACACAGGGAAAATGTTAATTTATTTAACAATTTCTCTTAAACATCACATTAGACTTCAGATTATTTTTTATTATTTTTCTCCTATCGATTCATTTTGAGATATAAACACTCTAAGTGCAAAACTAAGTAAAAAGAAGAATTAAAATTCTACCCCTGGGTTCAAGATAGAATCTATAAAAATTAGAAACAGGGTTTGAAATAAGGACAAAGCCCCTGGGGATAGAGCATTTGTAATTGAGATTTTACAGCTGAATTTCTTGAAAATTGACTTTTAGAGATATATGAATAAATTAGATGTGATATTTGTTTTTGGACAAATAAATGAATAAATACACACTTGTGTATAAATATATAAACAAAATCGGTATTTCAAAGTTTATTAATTTCTACTCAATGGTTGATTATTTCTTTGTCATTTATTTAAATTAATATTCAGTCATTTTTCCTCACCGGTTTTTAAATATATACAGAAAAATTTTCTCCTTACATTTTATTTTTAAATGAAACAATTTTTTCTACCTGCAATTATTTGAATTGATGCATTGTAAATTTGAATTTAAAACATTGTTTTACATATTAATATCACAGGAGAATATATTAATTTCCACATATTTTTTTTTCTTACTCCTTTTTTCAGTTCAATGAAATTAGTATTTGCTTTATATTTATATATTTGATAACACATTCTGTTTTAAGGAGATATATATATATATATATAGATTAGCAAATTCTTTTAATTAAATAAATTGCTTAAAAGGGTATCCTTTATATTAAATATATGTTGATTTTTCTTTAAGAATATCTTTTAATCCATCAACAAATATAGATTTAAAAAAAAACACTTTATGGGATTTTTCCCACACATACATACAAAAAAATTAATTAAACGTCTTTAAGAACAATTAATATTAATTTTCTTCGCAAGTCAGATTTCACTGTAAGCAAACTTCAAATAAAATTGACTATTACTAGGTATCTAAGCTAAAATGAATAAACCTAAAAATAAATTTGTCCACATGCAATATTTTGAAGAATACCTTTTGGTGGGGATATGGAGCCCGGGAGCCATGGAAATGTGGTATTTCCATAGAAACTGTTCCAGCGTTCCGAGGCGACATGCGACATGATGGCTGATGGGACAGTGTCGGACCGAAGCATTGAATGCTGTTTGTTCAGAATTCCCTCCATTGAGAAGGGCGTCATGGAATTGTTAATTTTAGGGGTAGATTCCCTGGGACATTCTTCCTCTGAGGTGACAGAGTCTGGGGTGCGGGACCTCTCCCTGCACTCCTCTCTTGGGGGGACACATTTTTCAGACAACATTGAGTCCACACTGAATTTTAGCACATGTTTCTGGGGTGGAGGTGGAGATCTTGAAGTGACTGTGGATGACTTCGGCGATGACTGGGTCGATGACATGTTTTGTGATGATTTAGAAGTCTGAGTCTCTGAATTAGCTTCCGAGTTTGAAGGACTTAGTTTACTGAAAGCCGAATTGGTGCTTGTTGTCAGTGCTACGGGATGCATTTTGGCCGAGGAAATGATTATAACTGTCCTAATAGTATTGCAATCACTATATACGAGTTTTCCATTGATGGTAAACTATCTTTTGCGATATTTACAATAATAATTCACGTTATCAACTAACTTGATACAATTTGGAGCAAGGGGTGTTAACTTTCTTCCCCTCGGAAGTGACGTCACGGGAGTAGGCTGGCATCATTGGTGAATATACAAATTGATGTGTAATGGGGTATAAATTACCAGCACACAATGCAAATAGTTGAAATTCATCCGAGTGTATCACAGGCACTGCGTGTTGGCAAACATTGGGCTAATTTGAAACACTCCACTAGTTGTGAACCTATGAAAGCACATCAAAAACAAGTTGACAGCATGAAACACAATAGAAGACCGAACGAGACCCAGGGTTATGAAGAGGGGGTGTCGGGTTATCTGTAAATACAAATTCTGTTTATTTAAAACTTGATTAATTCGTGCGATGTAAAGTGACTTTGAATGTGTCGGGTCCCTATTAAGGATGATCCATTACCTGACCCCCGTATAAAGTATCTATAATGGGTGATAGACCCCTATATCACTGCTGTCAGGTCAGATAATGACGAGGCCGTACCCAGGAGCAGAAGACGCCGATGTCCAGCGAGGGGCGGGGCCACCCAAACATCACCGCTGGCACCACAGAGCGGAGAAAACATTGTTTTTTTCTGCGGATTTCTGTAAGCTGTTGTTTGGATTCACGCGAACTTGAGAAAAAGTAAATAAGCTTACTCCACCGTAATTATATGTGGTGTCTAGATAAGAAATTGCTCGATTTATATCAGATAAAAACGATACTCAACAAAGAAATGAATTTTTTCATGATTACTGTCTTTGTCGGCTTATTTTGCCGGCATTCTATTTATTTAGTGTATTGTTATTTACATGTATTAATTTATTTTTGAAACAAATAATTTGAAATGAAAGCATTTCTTACTTTATTGAAATGTCATTGAATTATTTATATTTCTAAAATCTAATAATTTACAAAAAACACTTGATTTTTTAGGTAGACAAAAATGTCGCATGATGAAAATTATTCATTTGAGCAAAAATTTTCTAGTTGTTTTATTCTTGTTTTTAATTTCTGTTTATTTCAAATCAAATTAATTTCTGGGCGTGAAATCAAAATTAAATGAAAACACAAACTTTATAAAATACTTCATGTAAATGTTACTTTTTGATATTTTAATAAAAATTCCTTGGGCTAGGATAGGACTCTTTCTCCAGTGGATTTTTTTTTAATATTAGCTATTTGCATTCCAATTATTTCTCCGATATTTAGGCGTCTTTAGCATCGAATGGATGCACACGTAATACAACCGTTGGAGGCTGACTTAAATAATAGAGATTATTATGTATAATTACATTTATATCAGCATAAACGACGAGGCTGATCGGCCACATCCGTGTAGCCATCACATGTCGGAAGGAATTAATTCCCAATGTAAATGGCGCAGTTTAATTCAATTTAACGGCCTTAATCAAAAATTGATTCCATAAACATTGTTATTGGGGTAATTACTGTAGAAAAATAATTATGAACAATATATTACCGCCAAATAGAATCGCATGATCGCCATAACTCTGAAATTCTAGCTTCAGAAACTGGAAGTCATGCCGGAGGATAGGGTAAAATGAGGAACCACCCAACACCAATGTCCGGTAGATGTCGCAGCAGTCGGGAAGCGACACATTGTATCCTGGCTACTGTAATTGTAGCATTTGGAGCAAGTATCAAGTTCAAACACCGTCACACTGTAACGGTAATGACAGAATCGTCAGCACGATCTTTATTCCCGGAATATTTTGCAATTATTGAGATTTTATGGGCTTTGCAATGTTAAACATTGTGTATAAAATTCAATAATTTTGCAATTTGGTGCCTTTTTTCACAGGAAAGTTAATTGTGCATTCAATTTTCTTATTACTTGATAATTAATGCGGAAATTGGCCAAAGTTAAGACTGATTTGATAAAAAGTAATTATTTAGAAATAAAACGTTTAGCGTAATTTAATTATTCGTCATTTATTTGCCATATTACAGGACTAATTATACAGACATCCTACAAACGTGTGTTTTATATAAAGGTTGGAGGAAAAGCATGCACATTCTGTTTATAACTACATAAAGTGATACACATAATATGACTGCTACTGATAACAGACTCTGGGAGCATACATTATCTTAAATAATGAGGCCTTTTAGTCTGGTAATCATCGATTATCAATGGTCAAGCTCAAAGTGTTAATGGCCATAATTAATCAGGGCTGGCAGAGGACAAAGATAGAAAATGTTGCTTATTTTTACCTTTTGTTTAAGTCTGTAAAACAACGCATTTATTATTGTTATAAAATTGATATGAAAAAATAAATTCAAAATATCTTTTGTACGTCTAATAAACTTGGCAAAAATATCCTCTTTTGTGTGTCTACATTTTTCTTAATCAATGGGTTGAAAACACGCATTAAAATAGGTTTTTCAAACTAACTAGTTCACCTCTTTGCTTCTTGTAATTATGTATATGTTTCAATATCATGTCATAATTAAAATGAAAACGAGACAGAGAGAGAGAAATTAATACTGATCTAATAAAAAAAAAAAACATGCTAGTTTTTCTTGATAGTTATCAATTTTTTTTTCTATGCAAAAGGAACAGTAAAATAAAGGAATTCTGCCAGTTTCTGTATAAAAGCAAAATAAATATGTTAATTATATAAAGATTTAAAGATTTAGATAATTATAAAACATAATTCTTTAATACGTTATTTTTTTTACATAAAAAATACACATAAGGGTTTGATATGAACATTTCTTTAAAATTTTCACGCGATTAGTTCTCGAAAATATTTATCTAAAATAAAGATTTGTAATCATGAGTTTACAGACACGTTATTTATATTTTATTCATTTTGAGTATAAATTATTAATTTTATTTCAATATTTTTTATTTGATTGTTAATTCATGTAAATCTATATTATTTATTTATTTATTTATTTATTTATTTATTAATTAAATGCAAAATGTATTTCTTACCTAATAAAAATTTCCATAATCGGGGTTTAAAAATTTTAGTGTAGGTAGCATTATTTGAGATAGAAAAAAATTGAGAGAAAATAAGTGCATAATATTCAAAAATAATATTTTATAATTTTAATTATAGATTTCAATACATACGACTACATGTAGATGCATGTAAATACTACCATACTATAATATAAAATGATATAAAATTAATTAAATTTGAGATTTTCATTACTTAAAAGCTAGGTCTGTCTGTGAAGTGCTTCCAGAAAATTTCACAGTTTCATTTACACATAATCACATTATAAATTAAACATATATGCAAATCAAAATATTTTTTTCTTGATAGCATTTTTAGAGATATCAATAAACATCCTATGTACTATTAACGCATCGTTCTTAATAATGTGTACATGATTTGCTTTCCAAGAATGGGGTTATCTTAGATAAGATACAGCGCTTCCAGCAGATGTCAACTTTCTTAATTAGCCGTGTAATTACAATATTCCTTGATGCTCATCTGTAGCGTGGTTTGTAGCTTGCATTGTCATTTCCACCTCCTTGCGGAACCGGAACTGAAGAGTTCAGTCAGTTCTTGCTGCTTATTCTTCTTCCGTCTTAGAATCTGGAAATTAAACAGTTCAATCCGGGTGACCTGGAGCAGCATCGAAGCATTTCTACATAACACCCACACTTTATAGAGAACAATTCTGTTCTTCAAGAAAATGCAGTCTTCATTTTCTGGGCCAGTACTGACAAATGAACCTTTATGGGTTCGCGTGCCTTTTGGATAAATAGATACTTTACCACGCGCGTGCAAAAAAAAATACTGTGGTTTAAAGTCGTTACCTTTGAAACACATGTTTCCTTATATACCATATACATCGTCTTCATGTCCACAGTGCAAGTATTTTCGAAAAGATTCAATGTGCTATGTGGCAACACACTTTGAAAAAATTACGCACTTTGAAAATTTTTTTCAAAGTGCGTTAAAATTGGGACAAAATCAACGCACTTTGAAAAAAATTTTCAAAGTGCGTTAAATTTGGGACACACTCAACGCACTTTGAAAATTTTTTTCAAAGTGCGTTAAAAGTGTACATATGCATATTTTACCACGGGGACATTTTACGCACTTTGAAAAAAAATGTGTAAAACAAAAAATTCTAGACTTAGATTTTAGTAATTGAGAGAATCAATTTGTAATAATTTTATCTTTCGAAAAACTTTTAAATTTACGTGTACTCATTTAATCTCATTAAAAACAAGGAGAAGTAGAAGGTCTTTTAGCTCAACATTTTTTTTCCCCTTATACATTGTATATTGCTGTCGGTAGCAAATTGAAAATGGACCCCCCCCCCCAAAAGGTAAGCCCAATAACATGTATATCTTTGCAAAACATTTGTGTGCCTAAGCCCCCCCCCTTCCGGTACCGATGCCTATGTTACACCCACATATATGTATTTGCATAACTGGTATGACGTTGAAAACTTTCAATAAATATTGATTTACATAAAATACATGCAAACCTGAAAAAAATAATTACAGTAAAACATTTAAGAGAGGAAATTTTTTTCAAAGCATAGGAAAAACTAAATCGCTCACTTTCACATCCTGAATTGACCTCATCACCGAAGAGTTATCAAACAGGTTCAGTTATTTATCATACCTAAGATTTGCAAGAATGTTGACCAAGCCATACATATTTTTTCAAAGTGCGTTAATATGGTCGATATTAACGCACTTTGAAAAGAAATTTTATTTTTTCAAAGTGCATTAATTTGGTCCCAAATTTAACGCACTTTGAAAATTTTTTTTCAAAGTGCGTAATTTTTCAAAGTGCAATGTAACAGTGCTATCATGCGCGGATCTGGAGGGGGGGGGTCGGCGGGGGGGGGGGGGGGGTCAGGATATGAATTTACCAGGTTAAAAAATGTAATGTTGCTTGTCAAGAAATTTCTGGGATTGGATTTTTTTTTTGACTGGGGTGGACCCCCCTGGAAAAAATTTCTGGATCCGCGCCTGGCTATAGTATTATCCCTAAACAGGACAACTGAATAAATCTGCAGA